GTGTCTTGCTGCTTTTGCTGCTGCTGCTGTGCGGGGGCTGCTGCTGCAGCAGCAGCAGCAGCAGCCTTGGGCTGACGCGGAGCTCGAGCTCTCCAGCTGGGGGGCTGGTGGCTGAGCGGCTGCTAGAGAACGATGATGCGGCAGACGAAGCCGCAGCAGCAGCAAAAGCTGCAGCAGCAGCGCCCGCAGCAGCAGCAGTAGAAGGAACAGAAGCAGCAGCAGCAGAAGGGGCAGCAGCAGAACCAGCAGCAGATGCTGTGCTTCTCTGGCCGCAGGGAGCCAGGCTGAAGAGACGTTTGTCTTTGTTGGGTGTAGACGGTGCGCTGCAGCTGGTGCTGCTGCTGCTGCTGACGAGTTTCTTTGTTCGCTTCCTTCGGGTGTATGCGCAGCTAGCTGCTGAGAGGGAGGCTGCTGCTGCTGCTGCAGTTGCAGCAGAAGGGGGGGGAGACAAGGAGGGAGGAGGAGACAGCAGCACTGCCGAAGAAGAGGGAAAGGAGACAGAGGAGCAGCAGCAGCAGCAACTGNGGGAGGAGGAGACAGCAGCACTGCCGAAGAAGAGGGAAAGGAGACAGAGGAGCAGCAGCAGCAGCAACTGCAGCAGCTGCAGCAGCGGCTGCAGCAAAGCAGAGAGAGACTGCAGCGAGCGAGAGAGGCAAGGGACGAGGTGTATGCGCAGCTTGCGGTGTATGCGGAGACAGCCGGAGGAGACGCCGCAGATGCAGTGCTGCTTATAAACGCTTCTAGGGAAGCTGCTGCTGCCTGGGATGGGTACGGCCGAGAGATAGATGCTGCTGCTGCTGCTGCTGCTGAGGGAAGGGAGAGGCTGCGGCAAGCTGCTGCTGCTCTGCTGCAGGAGCTGCAGGCAGAGGTGGCTAAGAACAAACAGGAGCTGCTGCGGCAGGTGCAGCAGCAGCAGCAGCAGCAGCACAAGCCGCTGCTGCTGCGGCTGTCAGGCATGTCGCGTGCTGATGCAGCAGCAGCAGCAGCATCAGAGGACGTGGAGCTGCTGCGGGCTCGTGCTGCTGTGGGGTCAGCAGCATTGGCGCTAGAGAGTGAGGAGACGAAGAAGCAGCTGCTGCTGCGGCAGCAGGAGCTGCTGCAGCAGCAGCAGCAGCAGCTAGANGTGAGGAGACGAAGAAGCAGCTGCTGCTGCGGCAGCAGGAGCTGCTGCAGCAGCAGCAGCAGCAGCTAGAGAAAGAGAGAGATAAACCCCTAGAAGAAATGAAGCTACTAAAGACAAAGGTAGAAATGCTGCAGGCAGCAAGAAGAGAGCTACCTGCTGCTTCAGCTCGTGTGCAGGAGCTGGCGGAGAAAGCGGATGCTGCTGCTGCTGCTGCTGCTGCTGCTGCTGCTGGTGATGCTGATGCTGATGTTGGGATCGATGCTGAT